GTCTGTATGTGGGATCCGAACCCTCGGCAGGAGCGCCACTGCGCTTCCCAAGTGGCGCACTGTAGCAGTGCACCACCGAGCCGGCCCTTAAATTAATTTTTAAATTTTCCTTTATATTATGGTTTTAAGATAATTAGTAGTATTTCAAAAGGAATTCAATGTTTTAGAAGAGTCTTAGTCCTAGAACCTATCAAAAAATGGCAAGTTTCTCAGTTTTGCTTTCAAAAAGAATCACAAAATGATTGCAACAATTGAAAAAAATAAATCTAGGTGATAAACCAAGGAAGCATTTAAAAAATAACAAATCTTCAAGAGAGTCTGATTTAATTGCCCTGGATAAGGCCTACGTGTGAGTATTTTTTGTAACCTCCCCAGGGTTTCACTGGGCACATGAATATTGGACTCCAGGACATGAGCACCTTATATATGATGGTAAGCTTATGAAAGCCCAGGAGTTGTATCTTATTTATCTGTTAATCTTACAGTACACAGAGAGAAGGCTGTTAAAACTCCAAGTGCCTGCCATTAATACAGTTCCTTCTGAGGGAACACCACTGTATTGGGAAGGTGGAGAGGAGCCCTAGGAAGCTTCTGGAGGGAAGGTGGCCAGGCTCTGCACCCTGTGATGCCAACAACCTGGACATAAATGATTGGCCCAGAACTAGGCACCTGATCCAAGGTCTGCTGAGCCACAGGGTGTCCTGCAACCTATAAGGAGGCCTGATACAAACCCTCAGTCCAACTCCAGCATCTGGTGAGCATCCAGCAGGGTCAATTAGATCCTTTCACTAAAGGAGTTTAAATGTGAGATCAACAGAGAGCTGAGCAGTTGGTAGCAGGAGCAGAAGCCAAAGGACGCCCAGAGGAAAACAGCAAGAGAGAGAAGCTGAATCACCTTGGCGGCTAAGCCTGTTAGTAGGCATCAGCAGATGCCTGCTGCTGAGGGGGCAGCAAGATAACCCAGTCCCAAAGCCGTATCCTGAATGACCTTCCAGTTCCTGAACTTCAATCCAGTTTTCGTGAGGCCTGGCTGGGTGGCCTTTCCGGAAGGCTTTTCGGAGACACGTGGCTGAGTGGTGGAGATTCCGGTCAGCCTTCCTTCCACAGTCAACTCCCATTACTTAGGGTAAACTCAGTGGTATCTGTTCTTTGCAACCCCCAAAAGCCCAATCAGCCTGGCACATGGCAAGTGCTAAATAACTGCAGGTGCTTGGATGGCCCGACCATCCCCGTGAAAAGCCTTCTGAAAATGAAGAAATCATTCATGGTAAGAACACTGATTAGTGTTGTCTTCCAATTCCAAAAGCAATGCTAAACTGGGGTAAATATATTAAGCTTATTCCACCCTCCCATTTCCAAATCCATCTACATTTCTACCATAAATCTACCAAAGAAAGAAATGTCACATTCCGCAGAACTGCAGAGAGCATCCTCATTTCAGCTAAGGTA